CCTGCCATTGTGCAATACGCACAATTGATCATCTAAGTGAAATCATGAGAGCGCATGATGGGGGAGTACATTGGAGCACAAAAAGTTGCATTATAATAAAGTAGTTAGTTAGTTAGTTGGGTTATCATCATTGCACTTCGGACATGTCCATAGGTGCTCAGATCCTCCCCTCAGTATGAACCCCAATGTCCGATGGCTAATAGTACCAGTTCTATGTTGGTTTACTAAAATGGACTTCCGGTGTAAACAGCCACAATGGCAGTACGCTTTCTTGTCCGTTGAGACGAATGGCGCAAATTTGCTATTTTCGCTCACTTATAATGTGAAAGTTTTATCGGAATGGGATTTGAACCGTACAATGGAGTACATGCACGTGAGTTCAGACTTCCCCCAGAGTGTATTCGACGTCCGATGGCATATAACTAAATGTTCATGCCTAATAAAAAATATTATTTCGCCTGCACTTAAGGATGACCTTATTGATAATTTTCGGAACGAGAAATATGCCATCATTATAGATGAGTTGCAAAGACTTCATCCCATCTGGGAAAATCGCTCACAGATTTTCCTTTACAAACAGGATTACGCTTTATCTTATACTGGTTCCAGTGAGGATGACAGTGAAGAGTTGAATCTAGTGCTTTTGATGTGAAGTGGGTACAATGTTGTACGTTTTGGGGCAGTTTCTGGCATATTTTGGGTAATAGTATAGCATAAAATGAAATTTTTTTTAAAAATCTGGCAACATTGAAACATAGTTACCAACGACATGTTCCATTTTTTACCATTTCTCACCTTTGCGTTGAAATCTCCAAGAATAATTAAAACTTCTTGCGATCTGTCTTGAGACACTACCGTCTCTACTTCACCAGACAATTTCTGTATTTATTTTTCACTGTGATTTCTGTTGGCGCATAACGTGCTTTTATTTTACATAGTATAACAGCGTAGTTCAGGGTGCCGATTTTGTTGTTGTAGGGGGGGGGGGGGGAGGGTTACCGCCCCATAACAAGCATGCCGTAAGAGACGACTACTTGTTAACTTTGAAGTCGGTGTGCATCTGCCTGACAGGCGAGGAACAACCAGTCTACACAGAAATAAGCCAGATTTGTAAGTCCAGTCGCTTTCGCTCTGTTTCAAATCACCAGTCTGTTGTCGTTTACACGTGACATAATTTACAGTTATTAGTTTCTTCTATTATATCCTGAATTCTCTCGATAGTGTACAGAGTCCTGACCAACACCCCTGGCACATCTCATCATCATTTTTTTAGGGTTTCTCTCTGGCGTCTTGATTTCTTCAGTCATTTTGTTTTCCAATTCCAGTTTTGCGATTGTTTATACGCTTTTTTACATAATACATTGCCATCTTCGTTTTCTTTTAATTGTTAATATCAGTGAGTTTCTAGTTAATAATCTGATTTCATTATCTGGAATTCAACTCAATTAATGCTGATACGTTTTCTCCTGCTTTTGTTTCTCCATATCATTTAGTTTGTGTCCTATGTCTTTTAATACTTCTCTGTTTAGTAAATACTATGCTCAACCAAAGAAGATTGAATAACATCTTCAAATCATATCTTCAAATCACTCCTAATGATTCGTGAATATAGGCGAGGAATGATTCATTAAGATAGCTAACTTGAACAAATTTGTCACACACGACTTTCCCTACATTAAGTGCAGACTGTAAACATTTATTCATGCATGCCTTTCTTGCACTTACAATTAATAACTATATCCATTTCACTTAAACTACATATGTAAAGTTAATTTAAATCTACACTACAGCTTTCAATTGTGTTTTTGTGTGAGTGGTTGTGTGTGTGTTTGTGTGTGTGTTTGTGTGTGTGTGTGTGTGTGTGTGTGTGTGTGTGTGTGTGTGTGTGTGGGCCTAAGGGGAATCCATGGAATTTTCGGTCAAACGAGTTCGCGAATGAAGAAAAGATGAGGAAACAAATGGTCATCACTGGTAAACGTTACTAAAGAAGGAAGACATGTCTGCAGAATGCCTTATAGCGCTTTGGCAAGGAAAGCTCTCCGATGGTCGAGAAATAGGGGTGGGGGTGGGTAGGGGAGGGGTGGCTGGGGGTAGGGAAGGGGTGGGGGGTAGGGGGAGGGAGAAGGAGACGTGGAAGAAATAGGGAAAGTTGGAGAAAGAAAGTAGAAAAGGCAGTGAAGGAATATGAACTGTCGGCATGGCAAATCATAGGCGGAAAAACAGTAGACCGACAGAAAAAGAGATGACTTGTGAATCAATCCTGATGTTTTAACAGTGACATAGGTATATAGACCTAATTCTCCTAATCCGAAATGCATTGATTAGGAGCTGATCTCTTGCTAAATTAAAGAACACATTATCGCATATTTGTATTCTCTCTCTCTCTCTCTCATACACACACACATACACACAGTCACACACAGATCACTCAAAAAGCGATTATTGTTAGTTACTTGTTATATAAGAAGAAGACACATAATTATAACATTAACGTCTTACTCGACAGCCCGTTTCCAAAAGATTGCTTCAGCATTGTTTTCAGGTCTTAAAAACTCACTCTGTCTTCCAATGCTCTTGGAAAAGAAAAAATGAAAACTGATTGTCAGTGAGTTTAACAACTCTTCCTAACGAGAAGTGTGACTAAATAAACTGATTATTGTTATACAGTGCTGATATGTCTTCAGTCTTAACAACCCATTACAGAGTTCTTCTTTGTAAGTTCGCGCCGTATGGTGTTGGTAGTCATGTCTATCCACAACCTTCTGTCTCCTATACTTTCAGTCAGCTCCGATACAGATGATGCTCCATGCCATGATGTCAAACTGTCCCGCATCTTTTCTCTCGGTATCTGTCTGCCTCTCCTTCCCTCCAACTTTCCTACTGTCACGATGTACTCCAGTTTTCATCGTCTCAACACATGACCAAAGAATGTAGACTGTCTCTCTCTGATGTGGGTAATAAGTTCTCTTCGTGAGTCAGTTTTTTTCAAGACATCTTAATTACTCTTTTTATCTGTCCAGGGTATTCTCATTATTCGTCTATAAAACCACACCACTGCAGCTTCCAGATTAGTTTTCACTAATGTACCAACTGTTCATGATTCACTTCCGTGTATCAAGATTAGATTTATATAGCTTTTAAGAATTCTCTTTCTCGTCATTGTTGACTTAGTCTCTCTATTTAATCTTGAAGAATGTGCAGTTAGTAATATTTGTAATACAAACTCTAAGTGATATTTTAAACTGACTGTTTAATTATTTTCACTTGTTGTTTCATGAGTTGCTCTGTCTTTAGGCAGCCACTGACTAGAACAGATTCAAAGGCGAGAAGATCGACTTTACTACCCTAGGTTTCATCCAACATGGCCAGCTCTCTTTCTGCAGAATGAGTCGACGCCTGTAGAGAGCAGGAAGCAGAAACTTCGACCATTCAAAGACCAGGACCGTTTTAATGCATGAGCTCCCTGGGCAGTTACCTAGGGGCCTCACGAGCCTAGGGGTCTCATGGTGACATGTGAGTGTCAAGTAATTTCATACTGTACCGTCTAATCTGTGTTTATGCTTGAACACTAGTTTATTTAAAGAGCCAATAAAATATATACGTGTTTAATATGATCAGCCATTTACGTATCATTTCTGTGAGTGGTAGTCGTAGGGGCCCCAGCAACTGAGACGGCCCCTGCCCGGGACCACCCTTTGGAATATCCACAAGGGATAGCATACGTTGAAACTGCACTAACGAAACGAACGAAAGACAGTCTGACACTGAATTTCCTCGCGAGTCAAATGACGGAGTCTTAACACTGAATCCACAACATCTCGCTAGTTAGATAAACGGCGTAAGCACTTGGCCATGTTGATTTCCGTTTGTAAATACATGAGACTTCATACATTTTGGTCTTTCTTTCTTTCTTTCCTTCTTTCTTTCTTTCTATCTTTCTTTCTTTCTTTCTTTCTTTCTTTCTTTCTTTCTTTCTTTCTTTCTTTCTTTCTTTCTTTCTTTCTTTCTTTCTTTCTTTCTTTCTTTCTTTCTTTCTTTCTTTTTTTCTTTCTTTCTTTCATTCTTTCTTTCTTTCTTTCTTTCTTTTTTTCTTTCTTTCTTTCATTCTTTCTTTCTTTCTTTCTTTCTTTCTTTCTTTCTTTCTTTCTTTCTTTCTTTCTTTCTTTCTTTCTAAAATATCCATACTTGTATTAATAGAACTGCAACAACAATAAAACATAGTGTTCCTAGAGATTGTAAAAAAAAAAATACTCTCCTCAAATACCAAGAAAACAGAAACAACGGTTATAGCAAAGAAGAATTGATGTGACATAACAATAGAAGGGAAAGTGCTTAGCTAAGTCAATAAATTCAAGTATTTGGCAACATTCATAACTTCAGATGGACGATGTGTGACAGAAATTAAGAGCAGAATTGACAACTGGAAAGATCACTGATAGAAGATGCAGAGGCAGATCAAGAAAAATGATGGTGGATAGCACTATGGAGGAATACCATCAGTAGAATTGATCCAGAACACAAAAGGCCGAGATCTGTGACGACGCATGCCAGCTGGCAAGGAACTTGACGATGATGATGATGATACTTGTATTCCCAAAGACATAGAACGGAAGTTAAATGTGTTCGCAAACAAATACCTGATACAAATTATAAACACAACATGTGATGAATTCAAGAGGGGAGAAATTAAAGAAATGTCTGGGCAACCACGATTATTAACAGATATTAGACGAAATAGATGGCGCCATACTGAATACATGCTGAGAAGAGATAAACAGGGAATCACAAAACATGCACTGAAGTAGAAAATAAAGGGATTAGGGAAAGGAGGGCGTCGAAGAGAAACCCTAAGAGGAAAGCTGATGAGAAAAGCCAAAAAGGCTGGACTGGATTCCATCCAGGATATATTGTACTGAATTGCACATGATAGAACGGAATGCAGGAATAGACTGTGAGCCCAATGTGACATGTAGTGGCACAACAGGACAATAAAAGAATACTTGTTCTCTTGTTCTTTTGTATGTGATGATGTATTCTGGGTAACATTGGTTTCCATTGTACACGACGAATTCCCGGAACAGAAGGTGAATACTTTCGACCGAGTCATATCTTTGTAGAGGTCCACATGTACATATCCCTGCGTGCTGCAAGCACGGTGGTCGTGTCAGTTTCTTAGCATCTGGTGAGAAAGGTTTTAAAAAAATAAAATAAAATAAACAGCTATGTTAAACTATTCTTCCTACAGTTACCTCACACTGAAGTGTCATTGACGGGTAGGAGCATAGGTGTAGCAAGAAGCATGCAGGACGCACTGGCTGTCATCACTGAGGGGAAAATTGGGGGGAGGGGGGGGGGGGGAAATGACAAAATAGCAGAAAATGTATTTGTAATATATAAGTAAAAAAGTAAAGGACCCTTTTCCACGCCTTTAGGCGTATAGGGCACATAGGGCTAGACCTATATTTTTATAGACCAATCGGCACAAGATGGGTGATGTGGTCAGCATAACGCCGGCCGCCTCTACTTCCCGGGACTGCACCCGGTACCCACTCAAGGCTGGGTCGACCTGGGAGCCAAGGTCATTTTTGAAAATAGTCCGGCTCCGCCAGGGAGCGAACCCACGACCTTCCGATCCGCGGCGAGCGTATTTGTAATATATATAGTGTTTTATTGAAAAAAAAAAAAAAAAAAAACTGCTGTTAGCGTGTGTGTTTAGGGGGTGACAGGGAATTTTTCTGCACCGGGTACCTCCTGACCCTGCTCTGTCACTGGCGATAACAGGAAATGTTTCGTATTTGGTACCATCTCACCCTGCTATGTTACTGGGTGGGGATAGCATAATGATGTAAGGATTTATGACAATGATTCATTAGTTACTTCCTGTTCTAGCAATTATTTTCTTCATTAGCCAGATACAAGGGCCTGTACATGATGAGTCTTGGGGAAGAGAGCTTTGCTCGGTACTAAAGTCAACCCTGGCATAAGCTCGTATTTGTGCATTAAAACCATCTCATCTTTGTTCCTGATTTCATGCACTAAGGTCTCTGTATGGCTTACACCCCAGAGAAGTAATGAGTAATATAAAGGTTAGTTGCGTATTCTTTACAGGACGTTGCAGAACCAACCCCAGCAGCCCCTGGCTGTTGTATGGTTTCTCTAGGCAAATTTACGTCCAGTAGTTTGCCATTGCTTTCTAGACTGTCGGCTCCCTGATATCACTGTCAAAACCGACGCAAGGCGCATGACCCGCTGCTGGGATCTAACCCGGCACCCCGGGATTACTAAACGTTTGCATCGACTTAGCCACAGAGCCGACAATGGGTAATATACACACACATATATTTATATCTATCTTCTTCTTCTTCTTTTTCAGCATTCCGAGCCCTTGAAGTTCGTTGCTGCAGATATCACCCGCCTCCATTCATCTATCTGGTTGGCCTTCTCCTTCTAGTTGGCAATACCAAGTGTTTGCGGGTCTGTCTGGATATTATCTCTCCTTTTGGTCTCCCTCGTGGTCTACGACCTTTTATGTCTCTGGTGTGTACAGTTTTTACTTCCCTCTACTGTGTGAATTTCAGCTGAGCTACTTTATTGTACAGAAAAGTATAAACAATTGTCCATCTTGATTACCTTAAAAAGTGTGCCTGTCGTTTCTGGGAAGTCACAAACAAACGCCAGAATTTATTGCTTCCAGTGCAGTTTTACTACACAATTTCCTTCCATAGTTTTTTGTTGTTGTTGTTACATACGATGTATGTCTCTCATACCGTTGTCATAACCAATGTAAATTTATATGCTGGTAAATTGCACGCACAAAACACAGTTAACTGAAAGCAGAAAACCGGACAAAATGCCTAACTCACCTTCCTTACTGCATTTGGACGCGCGACCAAGCAATACTCGGGCCATTATTACTGTCAGCTCTGTCCCTAGTGGCGTGCGGTTATGTTTGTCATCTGAAAAGCCAGCACAGACTAGGATTCATGTGAACCCGATTGATACCAGATGTAGTTCGATACAAAATTTATTTTGATACGGGACCTGGGACTGGATATCTTCTTCTTTTTGCGTTCCCCAGCTGTAAACTCTGGTGGAAAGTTCTGGTTGTTCGCCTAATTCTGGACTGCAGTCCTGTTCCAGAACTTGAGTGTTGTGTGTGCATCCGTTTGACAGATCTGACACATTTCTGTGCAGACTGTTGGTTCCTTGCCTCTCAGGCAGATGCACTTCGACTTCGAAGGTAGCTCCTAATTAGTCGATTCTTACGGTATGCTTTTGGGTAGGCAGTGGGTCTATTATTGTTTTCCTTTAATAGGACCCCATAACACACACACGGTGGGGGGGGGGGGTGAACTGTGATTAGTGATTATAAAGGATTATCATAACAGCACTTCCGGACAGATCCATAGGTGCTCCGATCTCCTCCTCAAAAGCTCCACAAGTGGGAAACGACTGATGACGCCTGTTCTGTGTTGGGTAATGAAACGTCTTGTCCCCTGAGAGAAATGTTTATTTCTTGCAGCTCCAGGCTGCACCCCCATGTCCATCAGTCTAGACAGGGATACGGAGTCATGTCCCTTAGCGTGCTCCTCGGTATGGTAAGTGCAGCGCATGGCATTGATAACATCACTTCTGTCCAGTACTGGGCCAACCATAACAAGCGCAGTGTCAGCAAGAAAGTCTGCACGTTCATTGCTTTGAACACCCGCAGTACCTGGAATTTATTGTATATGCTAGGACTGATGTATAGCAAACATTGATTAAAACAAAATCATAAATTATTAAGGCAAATTTTGTACCTCCCTTGTGCTATCAGTGTAAGGCTTAGACATTGACTGAGGAACACAAAAGACAATCTGACCACATGGACAATGAGTTGTTTGAGAAAGTGTTTGAGATGTCATTTCAATGGAGAGTTGGCGCTGAGTGACTTTGAAAAAAAAAAAAGGTATCGGTAGGCCTACAAGTGTAGTAAACATTGAAAAACGTATAACGTTTAGAGAAACATACGTACCCGAATACATATCTGCCTTTTCGAAACTATCCGTGAAATATATACCCTTCCCATAAAGGTTTCCAGGGTCAGCGAAGCGGGTTTGAAACCCTGTCTTAGCAATACTGAGTGCATCCTTTGTGCCATGGAACAGGTAGTACTCATTTACAGCTGGGTTTCTTTCCCCCTTCTTAAAGTTTGCTAGATCTTGGGAGATTTTTCCAATAGATGGACACGGTCTTCCTCTCTTCTCAAATTCTAGTTTTTTATTACTGTATGAATGAAACACAGAGGCGTTTTCTACTCTTTTCACCTCAGTGATCTCGACCGCTGAATGCTTTAGATGGGCTGCATCTTGTCCTGCTCCAACCACTGTAGGATCCCACGTTGATTTCACAATTCCAATCAAAGTCGCTTTAGTCGCTGTAGCATCTTCTAAGATAACATCACGTGAGTTCTTGTGGGCCCAGTATGATAGGGGAGAAGTAAGAAAGGCTGCCATGTATTCAGTGTGGGGTAATTTTTCGTTTAAGGAAATAGAAACGCTTACAAAAACCTGTCGTTTTTGTTCTATTAATGCTTTAGAAACGCTTGATGACCCTGGAATGTAAGAACACAAAACATTATGAACAATGTAAACCGAAATCGAAATATTGTTTGCAGAATAACACATGGACGGCGTTTAGTGCAGAAATCTAGTATATGACACAACAACATTTAATTTAGTAACAGAAGCGGATTTCCGGTTGCTGGAGTATCAGCTACACACACCTGTTTTAGCAAACAGACTCAAAGGAATGAGGAAAAAGACGAAGAAGGACATTCTAAACATTGACATACTGTGGCGGGTAACTTCGCTTTAACTAGCGACTGCACTATGTGCACTTTACAGAGGGACCTACAAACAGTGAAACATCATAAAGTCTTATATTAACCCCAGCCTTGCTGGTTAAATGAGAGGATTCGGGGTTTGCCCACATCTAATTCCCTACTGTTACTAAATTTGTATACTTAAATGTATTAAATTACACTAGCTTTTGTTCACTGACACAATTACAGTTAAAATGAAACTTCAGAAAACTGTAAGAACATAAAAACTACATTTATTTTGAAAATTCAAGATATTAATTAAAAGGCTGTGGATAAAATCCGGTTATATAAGGTTAGTGGTCAACTTTGTCCACTTAGCTGTAGCTTAGGTTTCTGTTGTCAGCTTCTGACTAAGCTTCGGAAACACACCAGGCAGGCCGAATCTTCCAGTCCAGTCCAGACAATCGGCATCTGCAGCTAAGCTAGGATTTTACTTCTGGAGCTCCCACCTGGAGCTACCACCTGGAACTACAACAATAGAACAGTCCTTATACAAACAGTCAGGAAAGTTCTAACTGGAGACAACAATACCTCCAGTCTTTAAATACTGTTACACTACACACACATATATATGGAGTAGGATAGTAACAGGTGTTCACATTCTACTGGCATAGAATGGGAATGTATACAGAACATGGTCGATAATCCTGATGGGGAAATATTTAGGAAACCAGTTTCATGAATACTCTCAAGAACAAGAGTTTACATCACACAAAAAGAAAGAGCCTTCCTCAGTGTAAATTGTTCTGATGTCTGCACACTAGTACTCCTTTAAAGGGTTAACATGCTTACACACACAGACATACACAGTCATATTTCACAATATTCTCATTTTAACCACTTGGGTTCACATCACAATGAATGAGAAACAGGGAGTGAGTTTACCAAGGTCAGAAACTCATAACAGGTGCTTTGCACTGTTTGAAAATAAATGGGATTGACATATCTCCATCAATATACTGGGTGCTGGGATAGATGTCAAAATACAATCATAGATGACAATGGGCTTTCCATCTGTCACAGTATTAACATAAAATATACAACACTCACTCCAGTTTAAATCTAAATCCACACATGTGCTAAATCTTATTCAGTAGAGTTTAGAAGTTGTAAAGGTTAAAATATACTTGTTACAATTGTAAGGCCACCTGCTGTAGAACTGAAATGTATTCCTAGTAATAGGGAAATATATCTACAACAATAATAATTACAAGCATGGGCCATACATCTCTTCTTCTCTGACAGTGTGAATATTAAATTCAGCCTCACTGATTGTTCACTTTTCAAGCTCTTAAACTATTCTCAGAATTATCTGCACTAAATCTAAATTAAAGCAAGACAGTGAATTATCAAGCTAATATCACCATGAGGTGAAAATCAACTTAGTAAGGATTAGGTATATGAGTATACACTTCATTCCTATTTTTAATTGTCTCACTAAGCTGGAAACGAACTGGCTGAGATTTTACATGAGGACATAATTATCACTTAATTAATATAAGTATATAATAATTAAAAATACCAATGCACGTTTCTAGTTGCAAATAAACATTAATTAAATCATCAAATAGATCATATGTTTGCATACATGTACATACTAGATCATAAACGTGGTTAGTAAGGATAAAGAAATTTATCATGGTTTTTAAGCCACGTGGGCATCAAATTTCAGCAGATAAAATTAATTCAGAGGAATAATATCAATAGCTCAAATTACACTAATTATTATAAACTCACCCCTGGCAGGGAATTCAAACACAGACAACAAGACTGACTGACTACCACTTAAGTCTGAACTAAGTCAATTGGGGAGAGCAAAATCTTGACTCCCCCAACCCTGCCTGGAATGAAAGTGAAAGAGGAGAGTCCTACCAAAGGGGAAGTTACTCTTAGTTACCCCTTGCACTACCCAATCGCCTTTTAACTTTTTGATTATAATTTTGCTCCAATGAAGCATTAAGAAAGGGGTAAGAAAATTCCTTAATTAATCCAGTGTTATTATGCTAATTAAAAGCAATAGGAAAATGTTTAGAACTTTGGTAATAATATTATCTAAACAAAGCAATCTTTAAAAGGGCAGAAAACAGCTGTCCAGACCAGCTCGTCACACATACTTCGCGAGAACTGAGAGAGTTCTTTGCAATTGTCAGTGCATGCTGTCTGTTTGGGAAATGAACAGACACAGACAGACTGCTTCTGTATCATAAGGTGTTTGGTGAACTGATGCCCGACAAGGCAGAAGCCATTTGGTAACAAGTAAATAGTGATAAAATGAGAGTGGCAAAATATCTGGTGGACACTTGATGTTCTGAGGATCGCCAAGCAAATGTAAATAATAATAATAATAATAATAATAATAATAATCAGAAAACTTCATCCTAAGCATTATAATTCTGCGCTGGCTGTTAAAGATGTGGACAGAAATGTAATATACGTTCTTAACTCTAACACTAAAGTAAGTGAATTCTTTTCTCATTTTAACGTTTGTTTTGATGCTAAATAAAAATATTAAAAAAAAAAGTTTTTTTTTTTTTCAAAATTAAAAAGCTTTTAAATTTAAATATTTTTTTTCAAACTTTTTAGTATCGTATCGTATAAAATCAAACAAAAATTCCAAGCTTAGTCCTTTTTAAGCCGCCTGATGGCCTGCTTTTTCAAGGACGGTTCCTTTGGTCAGAAGAGTGAGTGAGAGGTAAAGTTGCCTCTGTTGAGGGTGCTGGTACTCTCTGGATCTGGTCAGTCACATCCTGACGAGGGGTGGCTCTCAGATCGCTTTCCCGGTTCTGGATATGAACTGCTTCACAAGTCGCTGGATCTTGTCGTCACAGCTCACGCTGAGGCAGTTTTCAATTGTCATAGGTTGGTTTGTGGCTCTGAAGTGCAGCACGAGCTCTTGTCTTTCTACTTCGTGGTGTTTACAGGCTAGTAAGAAGTGCTCCATGGAGTTAGGGGCCCTGCATTCCTCGCACACAGGAGTGCGGAATCGGTCTGGCCAGCACCCTAGTCGCATCTTCCACAGTTTTCGGATGGCCGGAATTTTGGTCGGTTTAGTCACTTGATGAGGGCTGGAATGGAACAAAGCCAGAAAGAAAACTGCTGATAGAGACGTCTGGCGATCTCTCTGGCAAACCTCTACACCCCAAGGTAGAAGAGGAGCGACTAAGTAAGTAAGTAAGTTAGTCACTTGATTCTTGGAACTGGGTTTGTTGAGTAGTTTGTAGGCAGCTCTGCCTTTGTCGCTGGTCGACCACTGATGGGACCATTCTCTGCATATTTTGCTTTTAATTATTGCTTTTAGTTCAGTTTTGCCCAGTCCCACGAATACTGTGTTGTGGCTAACCGTGCCTCTCTTCGCCGCTCTGTCTGCTGCTTCATTGCCTTCAATGCCTATGTGTGCTGGGATCCAACCGATGGTGGTTTGGCATCCCAGGCTTCTTAGTCTGGTTGAAATTGTCATGATTTCTTCTTTGATGTCTTGCCGGCTCACTTTCGAAAAGTCCCTTCTTATTTTAATATCTCATAATTACATGCCATAAATCAAAATACCAATTCTTAAAGTTGTCCCGGAAGGCCGTTCACATTGGTAGCTGCAAGTACAAAAAGCCCCCGTCATCCGCTTAAAACTTTCGCTTAAAACTGTTATACTGTATTAGGTCATTCCACTGACTGTGAGGTAACCTCCTTTCTTAGGCAAACTGCAGTCCAGTCTCGGGATGGGAAAGTTTAGTATGAGACTTCTTTTTTACTGTTATTATAGTGGTTTCACGGAATCAGATGCAAGATAAATTAAATATACATGATGCGAGATCACAGCAGCTTGGTCTGAAAATCCATAAAGAAAAGACAAAGATAATGAAAATAAATCAGACAAATAGTAATGTGGTTTCTCTTAATGGCACCCCACTCCAAGACGAGGAATCGTAAACCTATTTGGGCAGTAATGTAGATAAAGATGGAGGAACTGATAGAGATATTAAAATAAGAATACAAAAGGCAAGAGGGGCTTTCATAGCACTAGGGAATTTGTGGAGGTCAAAAGAAATTAAAAGAAATACTAAACATTTTTAATTCTAATGTCAAATCAGTACTATTGTATGGGGCGGAAACATGGAGAACAACTAAGACAATTACTAATAAATTACAGACATTCATTAACTGGAGCCTGCTCAGAATAGAGGGAATTAAATGGTATGATAGAATAACTAATGTAGAACTTTGGGAGAGAACTAAACAGGCTCCAGTAGACCAAGAGGTGAGGAAAAGACGCTGGCGTTGGATAGGACACACTGAGAAAACAGAAGAACAGCATAACTAGAATGTTTTTGCATTGGAATCCACAGGGGCATAGGAATAAAGGAAGGCAAAAAAAAAAAAAAACATGGAGAAGAGAGCTGGAGAATGAAGTTAGAAAGATGAGGAGACGTGAAGAGTTCCATGCAATGGCGAAGGATAGAACGACTTGGCGTGAGTTGGTTGAGGGCCTATGATCCATTGGGGGATAGAAAGGCAGAAGAAGAAGAAGAAGAAGAAAAAGAAGAAGATAGTGGTTTCTTTCGGAAGTATAGTTTAAAGGTTTTCCATATGTTTAACATAATAAAAATAGCAATTTTTTTTTTGGCAAATATTTTTTTC